TCAAAGCAGTCCATAGGAAAGCATTTCTCAATTTGCATCCAGTGTCGCATATGCACCTCTAGCAGATGTCAGGAAGACAGCCACTAGAGGCTGGATTAACCCTGCAATGTAAACAAAGCAGTTTCTTTGAAAACATCTGAAGGGTTAAACCCTGATGGACCTGGCACCCAGACCATTTTATTGAGCTGAAGTGGTCTGGGAGACTATAGTGCCCCTTTAAGCCAACAGCACTGTTTTTATGTTGGAGCAACTCTTTAAATTTCAAAGTCAAAAACATTATTTAAACCAAGAACTGAGATAAAGGTGACTTTTAAAAGTTATTTTCTCCCTTTGCTAGTTTGGCGTAGATCGTGCAACTTTCTGGTCTATTCTTTACTAATCCTCTTTTTAGAGACCAACCCAAAAGAAAACAATGGTTTTCTAGCCTGCCCTCTGATAATAGACTGGGACAGCTAGTGTCCTGGGATTACAACATCGACAAACAGATTTCATTAGACTGTCTAATATTTCACCATTTCCCACAATGGTAGAAGCTGTGCTTTCCTCCCAGAACAAGATACCAGATGGTTATTTAATAGACACACAGTGACCCAATGCTTTATTACCAAATAAGATCTCCTTTCTAACATTGCATTGAAGATTAATCCAATACCTGGGCGTCTAAAATATCTAAACAGCTCACAATGTGTTTCTGCATCTCTGGGGCTGAGGTTTCAGGTAAATGTGTATGTCTATAATAACATTAGAATATCCCCAGGAACTGGCTGCACAGCTAGGATTGTCTGACACCTCCTTCTAATCTATAATAACATTAGAATATCCCCAGGAACTGGCTGCACAGCTAGGATTGGCTGACACCTCCTTCTAATCTATGATAACATTAGAATATCCCCAGGAACTGGCTGCACTGCTCAGTATCCAGGATTGGCTGACACCTCCTTCTAATCTATAATAACATTAGAATATCCCCAGGAACTGGCTGCGCTGCACAGCTAGGATTGGCTGACACCTCCTTTTAATCTATAATACCATTAGAATATCCCCAGGAACTGGCTGCACTGCTCAGTAGCCAGGATTGGCTGACACCTCCTTCTAATCTATAATACCATTAGAATATCCCCAGGAACTGGCTGCACTGCTCAGTATCCAGGATTGGCTGACACCTCCTTCTAATCTATAATACCATTAGAATATCCCCAGGAACTGGCTGCACTGCTCAGTATCCAGGATTGGCTGACACCTCCTTCTAATCTATAATACCATTAGAATATCCCCAGGAACTGGCTGCACTGCTCAGTATCCAGGATTGGTTGACACCTTCTTCTAATCTATAATACCATTAGAATATCCCCAGGAACTGGCTGCGCTGCTCAGTATCCAGGATTGGCTGACACCTTCCTCTAATCTATAATACCATTAGAATATCCCCAGGAACTGGCTGCACTGCTCAGTATCCAGGATTGGTTGACACCTTCTTCTAATCTATAATACCATTAGAATATCCCCAGGAACTGGCTGCACTGCTCAGTATCCAGGATTGGCTGACACCTCCTTCTAATCTATAATACCATTAGAACATTCCCAGGAACTGGCTATGCTGCTCAGTATCCAATATTGGCTGACACTTCCTTCTAATCTATAATACCATTAGAATATCCCCAGGAACTGGCTGCACTGCTCAGTATCCAGGATTGGCTGACTGCACTGCTCAGTATCCAGGATTGGCTGACACCTCCTTCTAATCTATAATACCATTAGAATATCCCCAGGAACTGGCTGCGCTGCTCAGTATCCAGGATTGGCTGACACCTCCTTCTAATCTATAATACCATTAGAATATCCACCAGGAACTGGCTGCCCTGCACAGCTAGGTTTGGCTGACACCTCCTTCTAATCTATAATACCATTAGAACATTCCCAGGAACTGGCTTCACAGCTAGGATTGGCTGACACCTCCTTCTAATCTTTAATAACATTAGAATATCCCCAGGAACTGGCTGCGCTGCTCAGTATCCAGGATTGGCTGACACTTCCTTCTAATCTATAATACCATTAGAATATCCCCAGGAACTGGCTGCACTGCTCAGTATCCAGGATTGGTTGACACCTCCTTCTTATATATAATAACATTAGAATATCCCCAGGAACTGGCTGCACTGCTCAGTATCCAGGATTGGCTGACACCTCCTTCTAATCTATAATACCATTAGAATATCCCCAGGAACTGGCTGCACTGCTCAGTATCCAGGATTGGCTGACACCTCCTTCTAATCTATAATACCATTAGAATATCCCCAGGAACTGGCTGCGCTGCTCAGTATCCAGGATTGGCTGACACCTTCTTCTAATCTATAATACCATTAGAATATCCCCAGGAACTGGCTGCCCTGCTCAGTATCCAGAATTGGCTGACACCTCCTCCTACTCTATAATACCATTAGAATATCCACCAGGAACTGGCTGCCCTGCACAGCTAGGATTGGCTGACACCTCCTTCTAATCTATAATACCATTAGAATATCCCCAGGAACTGGCTGCACTGCTCAGTAGCCAGGATTTGCTGACACCTCCTTCTAATCTATAATACCATTAGAATATCCCCAGGAACTGGCTGCATTGCTCAGTATCCAGGATTGGCTGACACCTCCATCTAATCTATAATACCATTAGAATATCCACCAGGAACTGGCTGCCCTGCACAGCTAGGATTGGCTGACACCTCCTTCTAATCTATAATACCATTAGAATATCCCCAGGAACTGACTGCGCTGCTCAGTATCCAGGATTGTCTGACACCTCCTTCTAATCTATAATAACATTAGAATATCCCCAGGAACTGGCTGCACTGCTCAGTATCCAGGATTGGCTGACACCTCCTTCTAATCTATAATACCATTAGAATATCCCCAGGAACTGGCTGCACTGCTCAGTATCCAGGATTGGCTGACACCTCCTTCTAATCTATAATACCATTAGAACATTCCCAGGAACTGGCTATGCTGCTCAGTATCCAGGATTGGCTGACACTTCCTTCTAATCTATAATACCATTAGAATATCCCCAGGAACTGGCTGCGCTGCTCAGTATCCAGGATTGGTTGACACCTCCTTCTAATCTATAATACCATTAGAATATCCCCAGGAACTGGCTGCGCTACTCAGTATCCAGGATTGGTTGACACCTCCTTCTAATCTATAATACCATTAGAATATCCACCAGGAACTGGCTGCCCTGCACAGCTAGGATTGGCTGACACCTCCTTCTAATCTATAATACCATTAGAACATTCCCAGGAACTGGCTTCACAGCTAGGATTGGCTGACACCTCCTTCTAATCTTTAATAACATTAGAATATCCCCAGGAACTGGCTGCGCTGCTCAGTATCCAGGATTGGCTGACACTTCCTTCTAATCTATAATACCATTAGAATATCCCCAGGAACTGGCTGCACTGCTCAGTATCCAAGATTGGCTGACACCTCCTTCTAATCTATAATACCATTAGAATATCCCCAGGAACTGGCTGCGCTGCTCAGTATCCAGGATTGGTTGACACCTCCTTCTTATCTATAATAACATTAGAATATCCCCAGGAACTGGCTGCACTGCTCAGTATCCAGGATTGGCTGACACCTCCTTCTAATCTATAATACCATTAGAATATCCCCAGGAACTGGCTGCACTGCTCAGTATCCAGGATTGGCTGACACCTCCTTCAAATCTATAATACCATTAGAATATCCCCAGGAACTGGCTGCGCTGCTCAGTATCCAGGATTGGCTGACACCTTCTTCTAATCTATAATACCATTAGAATATCCCCAGGAACTGGCTGCACTGCTCAGTATCCAGGATTGGCTGACACCTCCATCTAATCTATAATACCATTAGAATATCCCCAGGAACTGACTGCGCTGCTCAGCACGCAGGATTGGCTGACACCTCCTTCTAATCTCTCACTATACACCCCTAACATCTCTTACCCTGGCTCCCCAACATTCATCACTAGCTCCCCAAGATATCTCTATCCCCCTGCTATTTTCTCACCCAGATCCCCATTTCACTCCTCTACGGCACTAACTAGCCTTGGTTTTGTTTCAAAGTTTATGACAAAACTCGCAATATAGTGTCAGCATAAAATATATATACTTATCAAACATGTATATGCATCCAATTAAAGAAGTTAAAATAAAAATGCTAAACTGCCTTCCTCTACTGCTATACAGAATCCAGTTTATTATAGGACTTCAGGGAGATCACCTGCCTGACCAACAGATATTAAACAGGTAGACAGACAGACAGACAATCTCCCATATTCTTCCAATCCCATATGTCAGTTTAAAACAATAAATCAGATTTTATCCCCTTTACACTCTGTGTTTGGTATAGGTGGGAACATCAGTACTAGTGGCCCAGAGAAAGAGGTCTGTCCCCACTCCACAGATCTCCTGCATTGACCCCGTGCTGTCCTGTGACTCTAGAGCGGGGTTTCCCAAGCCAGTCCTCGAGTACCCTCTACCAGTCCAGGATTTAGGGATCACCCTGTTGTTTCTCAAGTGTTTTTTTTTCTTACTAAAAATACCTTAGACACAACTGGGTAATCTTAAAATCCAGGACTGTTAGGGGGTACTCAAGGACTAGGTTGGGGACCACTGCTCTAGACGATTCATAAGGCTTTGACATTCTAGATAACTGCCCAAGTGTACCTCCAGCTCAAACACTTTCTAAATAAATGAAAATATAGACTGGTATCTGAGGACGTTAACCCAGAACTACAATACAAGTCCTGACAGAGCTTTGCCTCACCCTGAGCTCTGTTTACCAGAATATAAAGGGATTTGCTCTAAACTCAGTCGTTCCATCTAGTTATCCACCCGTGGCCAACCCACCAGAATCATGAGCTCCAGTCCCAGGGTGAGAGACTGATCCATACGTATCTTTAGTCTTTTAAATCATTATGTTTAAAATAATACAAGAAATAATAGCACCGACTAAATTTACCTTAACATTTTAATCCCTGAGTTCTAGAATCGTTGGCTTCACGGGAACGCACTCAGCACTTGTCGAAGTTTGAGGAAGTAGCTCGTTAGAAAGACTTTTTCTGTCCTACGGCCAGGTTTATAACACTGCTGTTTGCTGAATAGAGAACAGGAAGGTCGATTTATTTTCACTTTCTGTGTGTCATGTGTCACTTGCACCAATCGCTGTGTAATCTGAATTTCTGGTCATATTATATTGCTTTACAGTGAGGGTCCTGTCAATTTGCTCTGCAAGACTTTCACGTCTACAGCACACATTCACTATGACTAACTGTGCGTTTTATAAATGTCACTCGTTCTGGTTAACATTTAAGCAAATTTGGAGAAAAAAAGGGCTTTTTAAAGCTCTCTTCCTGCCTGCCTTTTCCCACAATGCAAGTTAAGTGGGTATTTACTAACCAGTCACTATTGTAAAAATCAGCTTTCTATGTAAAAGAAAAATCGCAATTATAAACATTATGTCTAATTTTTTTATTTGCACTTAAACATCCAAAACCATCACAGAATTGTGCTCCTGTGACATTAAATAAAATTGTGCATAGCTGCGACATGACATTCTCAAAGAACGCATGACGGTATATTTTTACCATGAAGCCAGTCTGTGCTGAAATATGTCTAATGTGTGAATATTTAGCTCTGCGAAATTTACTATCATAATGCTATATTATCCGAGAGTTACCACATATTACTGAATTTTAAACTTTGGGGTATCCCTCCACATAGTGGCCGAATTAAATATGAAAAGAGGGCTCTCTATGTATGCACATACACTGCCACATACATACTTACTCATAAATACATACACATTAACACACAAATACACACATATAAACACACTGACACATACACACATAGGTAGACACACACTGAGATATGCAAACAAATTGACACATACCTACTTTGACACACATATACAAACACTGACACATACACAATCAGATACACATACTGACACAAAGATACATACACAAACACATACACACACTGGCACAAACACACAAACTCAGGCTCAGATACACACATTGATACATACACACATTGACAAGCACACAAACACACACATGCATACACTGATACATACATACAACTTGACACACACTGACACACACATGCATTTTGGCTTGCTGCTGTTGGCTGAGGCCGATGGGAGTGAATGTGTGGTCTGCAGCAGCTTAATGCTTTCTCTCCCCACTGTCGCTTCCTCCTCCCTCCCGCAGGGTGCTCTCTGTCACTTCCTCCTAGCCAGCTAATACTACAGGGGTCCCATCGTTTTAAAGTTCAGGAATACCCATCGGGTGGCCATAAGTGAATGGGCCACCCACGTCCCCCCCCCCCAGCATGCTGACCTCAGTGCCCACACTTTAAGCACCGGCTGTAATTGATCTGCTTCCTCCATTGCTCTCACCTCATTGGTCCATTTAATAAGGTGAGTTACCTGCTCTTAACACCATAAAAAAGTGTCAAACACTGGACACATTTAAAAGGCTGTACTTGACGTGAGCAAAATAATTTTCTATAACAGGTTATTCACATAAGGAATTTCCACTGTATTACACTATATCACTCTTTCATATTCTATACATTAATTTCATGCAACACATTTTTTATCTAAACCGTTAATAAAATCTATGTTCTGGGGTATGCTCTATGTTTTCACAACAAACCTATAATACTAGGCAAATTATGCATTACCCCCCCAGTAAATGGACGAGACCGATTTCTGGAGGTACAACACACTTTTATTATGCCACACTCTTATATGTATACTCCATGCAAGAGGAGTAGACCACATGAAGACAATGTCCCCTCCCAGGGGTTGTATTGCCGAACCGGAACTCCAGTCTCTTTATCCCCTGTTTCCGCCACCCGAACACAGGGCTTCCCACTTCTGGCGAAAGGGGGTCTTCATCCCAGAATCTCCTTTGTCCCCTGTTCTCGGCACCCAAATACTTCTCCCACTTCCAGTGACAGGGGGTCTTCAACCTGGGAGTCACAACGCGGGAAAGTTCCCCGCCTTCTTGACTCTCAGTTACAGAAAGCCCACCAATCCAGCCATTGTCCCCAAAGGATGCCCACACCAATCCCCAGGGAAACCAGGCAAGGGAAGCATCTCCGTTCAGGATACGAATGCTCTATACAAATGGCTGTCACCCAGGGGAGCACTCCTTAATGTCTTCCCTTGTGGTTTCACACTTATGTTGTGAGTTGGTAATGTTCTAATTGCTTGGTGTGAACATTCTAAGGGGCAATGGGGAGGCCCCCGTTCAGGAACCGAATGGGGTGGGAAGCAGTTCACGAATGATCCCCCTGGATGGCGTTCATCTATACGAACTGATGGCCACCCAGGGGACGGCCCGTGTCAATGCTTCCCTTGTGGTTTTGACATCAGGTCGAGGTGAGAGCATTCTAATGAGCGTTCTAAATGGATTGTTGGGGTGGTCGGATGGATTCCAGTCGTGGAGTCACTCCCGAATGGGGAACAGACGTTTTGCACGAACACACACAGGGTAATATACATAATAAAGACAGGGAGAATATACGAACAACCGAGGTTCTGTCACAGTTATCATCTAATCAAACCTGAAGCAACCGCTCATGGTTATCATTCAATCAAATCAAACCATTAACAACCGCTAATGGTCATCATCCAATCAAATCAAACCTGTAACAACCGCTAATGGTTATCATCCAATCAAACCAAACCTCTAACAACCGCTAATGGTTATCATCCAATCAAATGAAACCTGTAACAACTGATAATGGTCCTTATCCAATCACACCAAACCTGTAACAACTGATAATGGTCCTTAACCAATCAAACCAAACCTGTAACAACAGCTAATGGTTATCATCCAATCATATCAATTCATCCTAAGCCTGCGTTCCTGCCTTTGAGCCACTTCACTACTTGTGGAAATAGCCTCATTCATCTGGCATTGCCTGCAGCATTAGGGGACTGGACTTCACCAGTGGCTCCTACCTGTCAATCTAAGTCCACCTGAGGCAGATGGATTATTATCCCAGGTATATAACATTACCTCTCCCTGAGGGCAGTGTAAGTTCGCTGTTTCATGTTTTGTGTTGCCTAAGACTGACTTGACTTGTGACCCCTGCGTGTGGAATCTACGTTATTGCCTGTTTGCCTCCTGCCCTGAACTTTTTGATACCATGCCTGACTACTCTTCTGGATTTGCCCTTGTCTGTTTCCTCGTACCCGGTTACTGTTCCTGCCTAAGCTCCTGTGCACAGATTCACAGCCCAGGTAGCTTCTTACCTGGTTACCGTAGGTTGTGTTTATTAGACATGTGCAATTCGTTTCAGGCCGAATATGAATTCAGATGAATTTTGGGCAATTCAGACATTCGGGTACTTCCGAATTGCCGAAGTGCCGAATTACCGAAGTACCGAAATGACCGAATTTCTGAAGTGTCGGAGTGCCAAAGTTCCGAAGTTGCCGAAGTTCCGAAGCACAGTATTGCCTAAGTACTAATATACTTACCCAGTGGAAGAAGAATAATGTTACACTGTATACCATTTTAAATAAAAAGTATACAAACGTAGCCAGGATTCAGCTGTAAGCATTTGCAACACTTGCAACAATCAAGTAACACACATTCATATAGAATGTAAGTTACTTGGCCAGTCAATGTAATGACAAGAATGAATAAGTAGATCACTCCCTAATTCCCACGGTATTAGTAAATTATGCCCCAGCCTGTGACTGCTCACTGTAAAAAACAAACAAAAAAAACACGTCCCCCTTCCCCCTTCTAACCTGAAGGGGGAACCTATTGCCCCCACCCCGGCCCCCACCCCTGAACGGCGGGTGGGGGCCCTAAAGTAAAATAAGGAGGGGACCTATTTTCCTCCCCCAGCCTCCACCCATGTGCGGTGGGTGGGGGCCCTAAAGTAAAGTAATGTGGGGGGACCTATTGTCCTCCCCCTGGTCCCCACCCCTGAGCGGCGGGTGGGGGCCCTAAATCAGAATAAGGGGGGACCTAATGTCCTCCACCCTGGCCCCCACCCCTGAGTGGTGGGTGGGGGCCCTAAATACCAATTAGGGGGGGACCTAATGTCCTCCCCCCTGGCCCCCACCTCTGAGCGGTGGGTGGGGGCCCTAAATTAGAATGGGGGGAACCTAATGTCCTCCCCCCTGGCCCCCACCCCTGAGCGGTGTTGGGGGCCCTAAATACTAATTAGGGAGGACCTAATTTCCTCCCCCCTGGCCCCCACCCCTGAGCGGTGGGTGGGGGCCATAAATACTAATTGGGGGGTGACCTAATGTCCTCCCCCCTGGACATTAGGTCCTCCCCCTGACTCCCACCCCTGAGTGGTGGGTGGGGGCCCTAAAATACTAATTGGGGGGGGACATAATGTCCTCCCTCCGGGCTCTCACCCCTGAGCGGTGGGTGGGGGCCCTAAAATACTAATAAGGGGGGACCTAATGTCCTCCCCCCTGGCCCCCACCCCTGAGCATTGGGTGGGGGCCCTAAAACACTAATTGGGGGGGACATAATGTCCTCCCCCTGGCCCCCACCCCTGAGAGATGGGTGGGGGCCCTAAAATACTAATTAGGGGGGGACCTAATGTCCTCCCCCCGGGCCCCCACCCCTGAGCGGTGGGTGGGGGCCCTAAAATACTAATTGGGGGGGGAACCTAATGTCCTCCCCCCTGGCCCCCACCCCTGAGCGGTGGGTGGGGGCCCTAAAATACTAATTGGGGGGGACATAATGTCCTCCTCCTGGCCCTCACCCCTGAGCGGTCAGTGGGGCCCCTAATGTCCTCCCCCTGGCCTCCACCCCTGAGCGGTGGGTGGGGGCCCTAAATACTAATTAGGGGGGGACCCCATGTCCTCCCCCTAGCCCCCACCCCGGAGCGGCAGGTGGGGGCCCTAAATTAGAATGAGGGGGGAGGATCTAATTCTAATTTTGGGCTCCCATCCACTGCCCAGGGGGGAGGACATTAGATCCCCCCCTAATTAGTATTTAGAGCCCCCACCCACCGCTCAGGGGTGGGGGTCAGGACATTAGGTCCCCCCTAATTAGTATTTTAGGGCCCCCACCCACCGCTCAGGGGTGGGGGCCAGGGAGGAGGACATTATTTCCTCCCCCCTCATTCTAATTTAGGGCCCCCACCCACCGCTCAGGGGTGGGGGTCAGGGAGGAGGACATTAGGTCCCCCCCAATTAGTAT